CTGGACGACTGATACAGGTAAACATGGGAGTCTCCTGAACCGAAGAAAATCTCCTGTGACAACCATAGAAACTCAGGCGTGACAGTTTCCCTGATGTCAGTTTTGCTTGTATCAGAAAACTCAACAGAAATGTTTCAAAAACATTCAACATTTCTCCACAGGCCTATGTGGCAAACAAAAATATCAGAAAAACAATAATACATTTCTACTGAAATTTCCTTGCAATCCAATCCAATGTTTTACTGTCTACTGTGTGTACAAATACACAAAGATATGTGAAACACATGGACCACACACTGCAAACAATTATCACATCAATCTTGGAATATTTGTGGCAGTTATAACATGTCAGCCAGAGCTGGAGAGGTAAATCAGACAGGCCAACTATTGCAGTTTGTCTGGAACAGAGGTGCTAGACTATCTCTACATTGTCACTGTATATATATCATACCAGTGGTGACACAATGCCCTCTACATTACCCTGGCTGCTTGTCAAAACCACACTTCATCCAAGTATCCCGTTGTTCAGCAAGAAAACCATTTTCTGTGGTTAACCTGAATTCCTTTGGGCTGTGCTTAAGTATATGAACAAAAAAAATTGTACTAAGAATGTTGAGAAGGGTCTTTTCTGTCTCCTGAGACCCAAAGCTAATTAAATCTAGTTTTGGTAATCCGGACTACACTTTGAAAAAATGCTCCTGATACATCCCAACAACTGCTAGAAGCCAACTTTTCTGTGACTCACTCGCTTACATCTGGCTATCATCTCTCTGCTTCTGCAACCAACCGTTTCATTTGGACTGAATTAAATGATTAGCTGTGTTTAATACAGTCCTGCGAGGGCCACAGACATCTTATGTTAATATTGTTGGCTATCAAGATGTGAAGAGGATTTGGAAAAATAAGATAAAAACTGTTTCAGAAACAACCTCCCAACCCTAACTTTAATTGAATTATATATATATATATGAATATATATATATATGACTAAATTTGTATTAGTTTAAGACTTTAATTAACATAAGCAACAGGGATTATATCAACAATAAATTATAAAAAATAAATAACTGAGTGTCAGTACAAATCAGCCAACTAGTAAGAAGAAAATGCAGTAGAGGAAATATCAAACTGTGTCTGAGGTTATCTGGATCAGATTCACCATTGTATACTGTAGTATTTTTTATAAGTAGTGGCTTCAAAAAGCCAATATGAACTGGGCTTTAATATCAATATAACTCAAATAAGTTACTGGATTACTTTTTTAAGTTTTAAACCACTGTGATGGTGTTGTGAAGATCAGTTTCTGGTTTTCATTTATAATATACTTAAAATAAAAGTATGTTATTGTCACAATACTGCAAAACAAAAGGAACGTGGGAGACAGGATGTTAGGACGGCCGACTAGATGATTAGCAAAAGGCCAGATGTGAAACAGCTGCATTTGTCAGGATTTAAAACAGCAGTCATTGACAAAACACTACAGTTTTGTCTTTGGCAGCTGACTAATGAACACCATGTTCTCCATTTACACTGAGCGTAGCAAAAACAGTGTGAACCAGGAAATGGCTCCGAACAGCGATCAGTGAATGATAATGTGCTGCCTGGAGTGGGTATGAATTAAGATCTTATTGATTCTCATTGTGTTCATGCACAAAGAGTTTGTGAAGAGAGTCTGACACACATACTTCTCTACTACGCTCAATCAGCTGCAGCTCTGTGAGAATCTCGAACACACTGAAATGACAAATGAAGCTGTAGCGAGACAGCTCAAACAGACCACTTGTGTTTTCAAGTCTGAATGCTAGCGGCCCTGCTCCCAGCATGCTTTGCAGCTCTCATCAGCCTTAAAGAGACTCCAACCCTGTTAATCCACCTATGAACAGGCCTCTTCAGAGCTGCCATGACAACCAGTAAACAGTGGACACCTCACTGCCAGCTCAATAGCCATCGACACATTGTTCATGTACGGAGGGCAGGGTGTATAGTTGCTGAGTTGTAGCGGTGTGTGTGCTGGGGCAAGTTTAGAAATGATTGGCAGTGACAGAGTCCACACAAGCACAAACACTTAGGCCCTTTTTCAGCAGTGAACAATGGAAGACTAATGGCTGATCAGAAATGTAGCGATGATGCAGAAACAACAACAATGTGGGCATTATTCAAGACTCAGACCACAACAATACACCAACAGACACTCGCAGCCACATATCCATCCCTCTGCATCCACCAAACCAGCTGCTCACCAATGAATGCACAAAACCCACAGAGCACCTATCTTAAGATACACACAGCCTGGGTTTAGACAAATAACATAACATGACACGCATGGACTGAACTGTCATCATTGCTGTTTTCAGACATTAACTGTTCACACAGTGGGGTATGGACTTTGTCCAGAGTTTGCATTTTATTATGTAAAGGAGGCAGCAGGAGATTCTCGGGTCAGACGCATTTACAGAAAAATCTCTAGAGTGTTAATGTGAGGGGTGGTGCACCAGGATGTAACATATAAATTCCACTTTGGAGATCAGACATTTTGTAAGCACAGAGACACAGGCATCAGCCCTTATTACCAAAAGCCCTCAGAGCATGTTGTCTTTCCAAGTTGGCATCTTAGTTGTCCTCTACATGTATGGCATCTCTTTTTCATCCTGAGATATGTGATTATTTCTTGTTTTGTGTCCTTTGCATGTTAGAAATGTTATTAACAAACCCATGCTAGTAGTGAATCCTCCGGATAATCTCCTGTGGATAATCTCCTAGATATTGTCTGCAGCAACTGACTCAGACATATACATTCTCACTTACAGCCCCTCCTGATAATTTCAGGAGATTATCCAGAATTCAGTGCAGGTCTGAAAGTAGCTCATGTCAACACAAGCTGTCTGGAAGAAACATGTTTATTATCATTGACACTGGAGACGCAGCCTTGTTTTTATTACCTTCAAACATATTTCCCAGATATCTGTGCAATAAGACTTCACTGCACTTTTCTATGAAGGTCAAGTAGGAACAAACTTTAGCCAACACTGCTGCCTTGTCTCAAATCCTGCTCTACTGCAACAATGACCAATCTCATCGCCTCTGACTACCAGCCATCTACGAAATGTAAACACAGAACTAAACACAAATTGTTTTGGTGGAATCACTCATCAGTCAGTAGCTAAATGCTGAGGTATGGTTGCACAGGTTAGTGTGGCTGTCCCAGAGTGACCATCCATCATCACCTTCCTCTTATGTTGCTGGTAACAAACACGTTTGCTGTTGTCTTGCCTGATTAAACACCATCTCTTCTTGGTGTGGAGTCATCTGTGCAGATAGCACTATATCAACAAACATGGTCATGACAAAACCGATCATCACAAAAACAATTTCTCCTCCGCAAAATCATTTGTTTTTCTGTCAGTCTCCCATCGTGTTCCAGAGAAAGCAGAATTTAAAGATGTGAAATAGATAAACAGCTCTTAGTGCTCAGTGTTAAAAATGTTCTGAGTGGGCCCTTGGCCTGACACAGCTCACTTGGCCCCGACATAGAGAAGCCATTAACTCAATACACAACAGAGCCATCACTTGAGATAATAACTGCAGATATATAATAAATGATCTATAAGCTGCCAATTTGCTGCATCTGCACACTGCAGGGCCTTTTAAGCTCGGACCAAATGGTGCTTGAAGGGGGGTTGGCCAAATCAGGAGGGAAACCATGGTCTGAGGGCAATATGTCTGTGGGGGGTTGTGGCTGCATTAGTGTTTGTGTGCGACTCCTGGATTTGTTCTATATTTTCTAGAAGGAGGTGCACGTGTGAGTGCATGACTGATGTGGGATGCCTGCTAGCTTGCATGACATGTGTTTTCCTGTTATTTGTGTGTGTGTGAGCAGCAGTGAGCCCAGCATGGGGGCTAGTGTCTGGGGCATGTAATTGAAACACAGTCCCATGCAGTGCAACACAGTGACCCCACTAATCTCCTCATGACAACATGGCTTAGCTTCTATAGGGTCATATGGCACAGCGAGGCGGCTTAAACACATCACAGTGCAGCCCGCCCTGACCCGGCCAGCAGACCGTAGGGTCCTTCCTGCTTTCAACAGGTCACACTTAGAAACTCAAGAATTAGGATGCACTTCAGAAATCAAAAAGAGCAGTTACAAAATTATATTTGCCCTCTGACAAAAACAGGTTCACGCAATCCATAAGCTTGTGCAAACAATGACAAGTTAAGTGCAGTTATGAGAATTAATAGCAGCAACAAAAGTGTTCTTTTTCCACCCACGGAACAAATAAATGTCACCATGTGCTACCACAGCAGGGCCAGCAGTAATAATTGGAAATAAGTCAGCGAGTAAGTGAGAGACAATGAAAGTATTGTAAATAGGAAGTGTATGTAATGAACTTCAAACCCTAATTTTTCTAAAACTATCAGTCAGCAGGCAAAAACACACCTACCGATTGATTGCCATGCTAAACTACAGGACATCTTATCTAGTTGAGTTCCCCCAGGGAAGTTTTATGAAGGGTGCTCAGAGAGAATTAAAACCATTTCCAAGAAACAGCAAAGCATTCATTAATCTTTCTTGCCTATTTATATTGTTTTTCTTTTTTTTTTTGTCCTGCCATTGCAGTACAATTTTCTTTGCAAGTAAACAAAGCTTCTCTGCAAGGTGGCTGACCTCAAACTTTGTGGGACTGAAGGGGAACACCAAAGGGATTTAGTCATTTGTTTGCAATGACACCTCTATGTGGACAAAGTACTCAGGGAATATGTTTACAAATGAAAAGGTAATATAATCCTAAAGTGGTATGTAATACTTTTATCTAATATATTAATCTAGAACAAAAAGCACAATAATATATTTTCTTATTTAAGGACCTATCCCATCTTTCTAAACTTTATTTTCAAAGCCAACACAGGACTTGTGTTTGTATTTTCATAGAAAAGCAGATTCCACCTGCCAAACAAGTGCAAATTAGGCCTCTTTGTTCAAGCACCTCCTCTGTGCTTACCTTTCCTCTGCAGGAACAGCCTGAGCAGAGGGCTGGCAGTGGAGATGGCCTTGTGGTAGTTGTCATCGTTGTTGATGGGCAGCAGGTCGCCGTGCACGTCGGCGTAGCCCACCAACAAGTCCACATTGGGGATGCGGTGTACGTGCTGCAGGAGGCCATAGAACTCATCGAATCGGCCCGGCTTGGACCGATCCAGAGAGAACCGACGAAACTCTGCACCAAACTGTGATGGAAGAAAAGAATATACAGATGAGGACAAGTGTGCAAACAAAAACACACGTGAGTATGAAGGAGATGGAGAAATAGACTAAATTAAGAACAAGAAAAAATGGTGAGCTCTAGTTAAAAGCAATATCAAGGCGCATCTCTTTAAAGACTCAGAGATTTGAGGCTGTGACTGAGGAGCAGACACTGCACTGAACTGGCAGCATTGTAAGAGTCTGTCTTCCATGTTGACAAGCTCTGACATGCCACATGTGGTGAATTATTCATGAAGACTTTGTGACAGTCGTGTCTCTGTCTCTCTATGCTTGTGGATGTAGCGTGTTCAAGACTGTACAATGCTGCCTGTCAGAATGTTTGGTTTGCACGTTGTTGACAGACAGACTTGTGTTATGACAAAACACATCGCTGGCTTTTGAGTAACATCTTAATCAGTGGTGATCTGACCATCTGATCAATGGCTGCTCAGGATGCCTGATCGCTGGCACACTGTCCCATTGGTGGTGTTGGTAAGCACCAAGTGTTGTGGTTACTGTTGCCCAGCGCTGACAAAAGATGATACATATTCACTGCCAACTGTGGACACTGGTCATTGTATCCATTAAGGCAGAGCAGGAATTGTATTAATTATAGGTTAGGAAGCCGACCAGGTCACAGGCCTGTGTCTGGGGCATGAGAAGACAAAAACATTAAATATGACCTTGGACTGGAGCTGAGCAAAGTTAAGAGATATTTGGTGTAGAATGTTGTTGGGGGTGCAACAAATAGGCCACAGTTTGTGTGAACACATACAACTAGCTCTAAATACTAGTTTGGAGCAGCAAACAGCGCCTTGAGGGGCCTCGTTCCTCAGCATGAGTGTCATCACGCTGCAGGCAGGAGGCAGGCTGCCTGTGGCGGAGGGAGCCATACGACACCTGCACAGAAGGTAGCTTAAAAAAGGGCTTATTTGACAAGAACCCCTAATGATTGGGGAAAACTTACAACGGCATACTGCTAAAACAAACACTTAATTCAAACTTTGACTCAGTATTATCTAATTCATCAATTTCCTGTCTGTATGACTGAATGTGGAAATCGTATCCTGCATCATCTCATCAATGTAACATTTGGCAGGAGTATTAATAATGGCCCAGTGTCAAATTTGGTACAATTTGAATATGTTCAATAATAAAAAATGTGTATCTGTAGCTGTCAGGGGGGGGGGGGGGTCCTCTTCGCAATTTGTCTTCCAAGTAAATGCACAATGTTCGTTACGCTGCTGCCCTTTTTTAAATTGAGCTGAATCACAGAGCCTGTATTTTGAAAAGTTGTGAACTTTGGTCTGAAGATTGTGTCAATTGCTCAGCAGAGCTCTGAAATAGCCAACATGTTACGTATGAAAAAAACCTCCAGTTTAGTAAATCACTCAAAGTTAACAGATATATATCGACCACACATGTGAACAGAGGCAACTCAAACAGGCAGGTTTAGAACAGGCGGGTTTAAAACAGGCAGGTTTTAGAACTAACGGGTTTGGATCAGGCGGGTTCAGAACAGATGGGTTTTAGAACTATTGGGTTTGGAACAGGCGGGTTTAGAATAGATGGGTTTAGAACAGATGGGTTTAGAACAGGCAGGTTTGGAACAGATAAGTTCAGAACAGAAGGGTTTTAGAACTAATGGGTTTGGAACAGGGAGGTTCAGAACAGATGGGTTTAGTTAGAACAGACAGGGTTTAGAACAGATGGGTTTTAGAACTAATGGGTTTAGAACAGGCGGGTTTGGAATAGATGGGTTCAGAACAGATTGGTTTGGAACAGGCGGGTTTAGAACAGGCGGGTTTAGAACAGATGGGTTTTAGAACTAACGGGTTTAGAACAGATGGGTTTGGAACAGGGAGGTTTAGAACAGGCAGGTTTGGAATAGATGGGTTCAGAACAGATTGGTTTGGAACAGGCGGGTTTAGAACAGACGGGTTTTAGAACTAATGGTTCAGAACAGATTGGTTTAAAACTAATGGTTTAGAACAGGCGGGTGTAGCTGGGGTAAACAGCGGGGGGGGGGGGGGGGGGGGGGGGGGGGGGGGGGGGGGGGGGGGCTGTGACAGGTGACACGGGCTCACTGTGGCGTCAGCTGACTATAACCTCCACCTACAAACTTCCTCGCTAGCTTAACTTATCACTTCTACCTGAAATCACAACTACGACACTGTCGGCGTCAAAGTTTTAAATATGGCGAACTACCACGAGCTAGTCCGGAGCGACAGGAGCCGCGCGGGCTCGTTCAGCTCCAGCTCGTACCTCGGTCATTTGTGCGACATCATAACTCGCCATCAAGCCACTTAGCAGCTAATTTAGCCCGAAGAGTCAGAGCCAGCGGAGAGCGAAGATGTGAACTAAAGTGATGAAGAGGAGTCCGCACGCACCTTGCTCTTCACCTCCACGGTACTCAGTGAACGGCTGCTCGGCACTCGGTGGTTCTTGTTCATGTTTCGCTAGCAGCGGGTCCCGCCGCCTCGCCTCTCACACTCGCCCTGGTCCTCCCCCTGCCGCCGCCGCTACTGCCGCTGCTGAGTATCCGAGCACCGCGCGTGTCAGAGCGGCTGTTCCTGTCCAGTGGCCCCGCGACTCCTCGACGTCCCGGGGCTTCACGTCCAGTCTGTGAATGCGACAGCACCGATCAGCCCGGAAACTTCTCTCCTCTCATGCTGAGCGGTGTCACAGCAGCTCCAACACAACTGCTGTACACTGTGAGTGTGTGTGTGTGTGGTTCACCTCTAACTCTACCTCTGAGTGTGTGTGTGTGTGTGTGAGTGTGAATGTGTGTGCCTGGAGAGCTGGTGACACCACATTTCAAAATAAAAGCCGCAGCCACTTTCTTTCCCACTGTTTTTCCCCTCACCGTCACTTCAAAATAAGAGCCCTCTACCTTCCAGTCCCAGCACTGTGACATTCAGTTCAGTTTATTTAAGTCCACAAAAATATTTGAGGAAAGCAGGTTTAGTTTACATAAATAAATAAAGCAGAGAAAAAAGGTGCAGGCTGAAACATTAGCTTTCCCTTCAGACCCTTCATACCCAGAGGAATTCCACTAAGGCCATATTAGGTCCTGAGATTAATTCCATCAAACAGAAACAGACAAAACTTCTATTTTTAAAAACATGTTTACGATTACAACTCAGTTGTGTATTTGTTAATCATCTTGTTTGTTTTTCATTTTTTAAACATGAAAAGTGAGCTACACATTTATATTCGACATCATAATTATTCTCTGACCCGCAGAGGTCACCATTTAAGACTTAACATATCCAGCAAACTTTATTGCACTATTTGAAAATGATTAAATTCATAAATTTATGGGTTTGCACAGTTAAAACAGATACAATGAAAACACACAGGAAGCTAAGAGCTCCAACGAAGAGCTCTCCTAACAACTCAAGGCAAAACAAACTGGATAATATGAAACCGGCAAACAGTCAAACCAAAAATACACATACTTGTAAATAACAAATATGACCCACTCCATTTTCCATTAGTCAACTGTGGAGTAAGGATGTTATACTAGCGTTTGTTCAGGATGTTTTTATGCAAGTTCAATTTCTACAAAATATTATATAATCCAAATTTACCTCATTACCTGAAATCATACCTAAAAACAATTACTCACCTTTCAAAAAATACAATAATGC